CATAGTCTTTCTACTGGGGTCTTTACTATTCTATTTACAGATGATACACTAGTGTATTCCAATACCAAAGAACTTAATGAACAAAATAAGGAACACAAGTATAACATATGGACTGAAATGAGAATTAAACGTGTCTCACAATACAACTACTTGGGAACTATAATCAATAAGTTGTGGGACAATACCCAAGAGATTAAATGTAACATCGGAAAGGCTCTTGACTATGAGCTCTGTGTTCAAGAGCCATGACCTGACCCTAAAAATAAAGATAAAGTTCAGACTTTATGGCTATGGTTATACAGAAGGATCCTGAAGATACCATGGACAGTCAAAGTCTTTGAATGAAGAAGTACTGCGGAGGATGAACACAACCGCGAATCAAGGCAGATACGAGCTACAACAATGGATTTTGCAAGGTAAAATTGAAGAAAAAAGGGCCCCAGAACGAAGAAGAATAACCTGGCTTGCTAATCAGAGAGCATGATATAGAAAGACCTCAACACAGCAATTTGGTATAGCAATCAACAAAGACATCATAGCCAGAATGATCGCCAACGTTCGGAACGGACAGGCAGCCTAAGAAGACTCCTCTATTTGTTGTCATTTGGCTTATATTATCATCCCATTCTACTCTTCTATTTCTTACTCCGTCTTTGAAAGTTCTTCACTTTGCATCTACGTCGTATATCTGTATTTCTAGCTCTGTCCTTAGTGTTTTACCATCCAAGCTCTTCATCTCTGCTATTTCTAACATCCCCTTTGTACTCTTTGTCAGGTCGTGTTTCTTTCATTATTGTATATGATATTGATATTTTTATTTCTTCATATTGTTTCATTCAGGCAACTTGCATCTCTATTTGCTCTATTCTCTTGATCTTCTACTTCTGTTTCGAGCTTTTCGTAGCTAGATAATGTGATGCCCAGATATTTAAACTCCATCACTTGTTCTATTATCTGACCTTCTAGCTCCAATTGACATCTTAATAAATTTGTTGTTATAACCATGGATTTTGTCTTGAGGAAATTAACATGAATATTGAAATTAGAAACTGAAGCGGTGAAAAAAAAGCTAAAATTCAGAAAGCACAAGGGGAATATGGAATAATAGCTGAGAACATTAAACAAGTGGGAGAGAGAGGTAGAGATTGAAGTGATGCTTAGGATCTGGAATGAATTGTGGAACACCATAAAGTGACCAAATGACTGAAGTATGCTCACTTTTATTTCCTTATATAAAAAAGGTTCAAACGGAGTTCAAATTGAAGCGAGCTGGAAAATTTTCAATATCTCACCTTCTATGGCACGCAGAATATTCATTTTCTTTTAAACGGTAGCTCGAGAAAATAATAAGATCTGGTCTACTTTTACTTCTAGGAAAAATCGGAAAATCCCGAAAAATAAATGAATTTTTATAATCAATGTACATTATTTATATAAATGAATAATTTTAATTATAAATTAATACTCCAAATGTGTTTATTTAAAATAATACGACTTTGAAACGTAATTGTAAATGAAATGTCTTATTTTTTAAAACATTTTACAATCTACGAATAAATGGGTTTAAAACAAATTTTGAAACGAATCTTTTTGTAATTTACAAGAAGAATTAATAATTATTTTGTATTTATACATTTATACAATTAATTTAGAAGATTAAAAAACCTAAAGTTCTACAACTTTTATTTGAACCATTTTTCTCCAAAATGTATTAAAAACGTTTTACAGGCAAAAAATGTTTTTTTCACTGTTTTTTTAAATATTTAAAAAAAAAGCCAAAAATTTTGCTTATGTTTAATCACAGTTAGCATAAAACTATCTTTGAATTTAACGTAACAAAAAAAGATGGTTTGTTTTAAAAATCGTCATTGATAATGGTTGCTGAATTGGAAGTACAAATGGTAATAAACAATTTTATTTGCGCATAATAAGAAGAATTTTATACAAAAATATAGTTAAAATAGATATTTCTATTACGTGATAAGTTTTTATTAGCACGTGACGAAGTAATTTCTTACGATTGCTATTAAGCTGTTATTAATTATAACTAATTATATTTAGGTCCATAAATAATGTGCTTTTTTGCGATTAAAAATTTTGTAAAGATAAATTTAATTACTTATTGTTGAATACTATCAATACAAAAATTATCTAAAATGTATAAAGAAAAACTCAATAAGAGGCAATTGGTAAGAGAGTGATTCAATTTTAAAATAGCAACTACACTCATATACATTTAGGTGAAATAAACATTTCACCTAAACTTTATAATATTCATCATAGCTGCTTTTTAATCACGTATGATTATACCATAAAGGTTGTATAGCGTCTCTTTGGTCCATTCTATAATATGACAAGTCTTTTTTTTTATTTTTTATAATTATTTTCTAAAACCTTTTGGAATATTTTCTTTGGCGTAGCGAACTACCTTAATCAGATGACATAATCAAATAAATCTCTTTAATGATTAATTTTTTCTAATCCCCATTAGCTAAATGATATGCGTTTCTGAAAATCATCATTATTTAATTCTTGGAGTATTTGAATAAGATAAGGGTGTATTTTTTTAGATAGAATTTTTTGAACAGAATATTAACGAAGTTCTTGTTCTTTGGAAATACTAAGTGTGGGTTTTCGGTAACTGCCATCAACATATTCATTTCATTTTCTTCTGTCAGAATAGCGTTTTTTCGTTCGTTCATGTTTTTCATAAGTCACTAAACCACTGCGGTCAAACTTATCTATCAATTTTTCAAAGGTATCTTGTCGAGGTGGCCTCTTATCAGGAAACGGTTCTTGAGACATTCTAACTAATAATAATGCATTTTTATTGCATTCCGCCAATATCCAGGTACCCGATAACATACAAGCTGAAATATTGAAACTATTTGAAAACAACCAACTCAAATTCCTAACCAGTCTATTGAAAAAAATCTATGAAACTGCAGAATTTCCTACAGATTGACTAATTTCCACCTTCATCCCTCTTCCCAAAAAGGCAAATGCCACCAGATGCTCTGATTACAGAATTATAAGCTTAATGAGCCATGCACTCAAAATCCTTCTTTCTGTTATTCAGTCTCGCATATATACAAAACTTGAAGAAAACATTAGCAGACAGTATCAAAATATATAATTGCTAATTTAAGGTGAAATGATTACTGAATTAATAAACAATAATACAAAACTTTCAATCAATCATGGTTAATTGAAGTATAGTATTAGTACTTTTAGATAGTGATATCAAATATAGGGTGTTCTATTTAAAATTACCAAGATGATAATGTACTTAGTTGAGTTTTGCCTTATCCTGTATTCGATTTAATAAATGTTATCAAAATTATTCATACTCTATCATACTCCTTTGTAATTATACAGGGCGTTGAACTTGATATGATTTTCATGTAATATTGGTTTTACTTTTTAACTTTTTAAAAACCTATAACAACAGGTTACAGCTTTATATTGTTGTTATGGGGAAGTGAAGCAGATTTCAAATTAAGAATAAAATACAGGTTGTTCCTTTTAACAAAAAAACTTACGTATTTTTAAAACAGTTGTTCTTTCTTTTACAATGTTATAATACAAAGAGTACTCAAAATCGTTATTTGTTACACTCATTTTGTAAAATGGACGTCTACTAGAAATATAATTATTTGGAAACAATCCACAACTGACAGCTAAAAAATTTAAGCATGAAATATAAACTAAAAAGAAAATGTTAAATGACAGATGAAATTTTAGACATTATGGAACAAAGAAAACTTCCAAAAAAAAAACAAAAAACAATGGATGCTTCTCAACTGAAAAGGGAAATTAGATAAAATATCAGTCAAGAAAAAGAGAGGTGGTTGTCTATTTAGTTTCACGCAATTTAAAACCTAGAAGTGAAACAGATTCAATCACCATCATCATGGTGGTACTGCCCTTAAAGGGCCTGCACTTTCTCAAGGTTTCCTCCCTGCTTGGAGTTTCCAGTTGGCAGCACCCATCACACTAAATTTTACAAGAAATTCTTTGTGTGACAGTGGCGATCTTATGTCCACCGTGTTTAAAAAACTCTGCTGGGATACCATTGCTGCCTGGGATTTGTGATTTTTTAGTTTTTTTATAGATGTTTTAACTTTCTTTACAAAGAATGTTCCACGAAGTGTTCATTTTGGTATTCCGGTTCCATATAGTTAGTAGGTTCCCGTTCCAGCAACTCTTCAAAGTATTCTGCCCATTGTAACAGCCTCTGACAAGGGGAGCAAGTTGCCATCTTTATCATTTCATATGTTGGCTCTCGGTTTGAATTCTCTTAAACGGACCAAAATATGAAGAATATAAAATCTCGATGAGCCAGACAATATTAACAGTATATTAGAAAATATACTAATCAAGACTGCAGTTTGACAAGGCTGTGTGCTGTTACCTCTCTTGTTCAATTTGTAGCCTAGAGAAATAACCAGCAAACAATATATGAAAGAAAACAATGTATTGCTTTTCATTGAACAATTACAAAATAATATTCCTTATGCAAACGAGAGGATACTTTCTATATACTGCGTATTACAAAATACTAAGAGCTTTGGCTTATTAGGGAGTGTAAAACTAATGGTAAAAGTCGACTGGATCATCGCAGAAATTATTAGTTAAAAAACTTGCATTAATGCTATAAAACTAGTAAAAGATCATTGTTTAGAAAAGGGGTGAACCGAGACCAACTAGTGCTGATGATTGCCAAAAATTGCTGTTATATCGCTGCATAGTAAGATAAAATTCCAAGACAGTCTATTGGAATAGCTTCCGCCAAACTGTTCAGAACAGCACTTGCTAAAATTAATTGTATCAAAATGATAGCAAAATATATATATATATAAAGATTAAAAAAATTGGAATAAGAAAGAGATTCAGATTGTGTTATCTATTTTGCCTTTTTTCCACTCTGGAAAAAGTGACTCTAGACCGGTATTAAATAATACTCTTACAGCTACGTTAGAAACATTTAAGATACTTACCAGCTGGGACATTTCCTCTTGGTTTGGCTCCTAATATTGCTAAATTTACATTCGCTTTTCTTCCGTCAATTATGGGGTTGGGTTCTTTACATGCCCTTTCTGCTGAAGCCCTGTCGCCCATTATCACCTGTAAATAATGGTAAAATTAGTACTAAAGTCCGTTTCATCAAATAATGTACTTAATGTACAATCAAGTAATACCCAGCATTAAACAAAAACATAATGAGTATGTTAAGAACGAAAATGGAGAACTGATGATCAACTTCTGCACGAATAACGAACTCATAATAAACAACACCCGTGGACAAAGATTTATGATAGATTATGTTATAACCAACAGAGATATACATCCATCAAAAATAATCGACGTAAGATGCCTCAGCTCAGCAGATGTAAACAAATAAAAATCAAAGTCGACCAAATACGAAATCCACACAATAATTATACAGGAAAAGAATATCAGAGAAGATCGATGGGAATGAAATATTAGAAAACGCAGCAACAGAATCACTTGGAGAGAGAAGAGTAACGAACACCAACATATAAAAAAAACAACAAGGTTTTAGGTCGGGAAGATCATGCACCGACGCTATATTACTAATGAGGCAAGTGCAAGAGAAATCATTAGAATACAACAAACCGGCATATCTTTGTTTCGTGCAAAGTTAGTTTCGTGCTTTTACTTACCGTGCCCAAGAGTACCTCTAGGAATAATCAAAACGATCGACAATATTTACCAAAACAACACAATTAAAGTAAAAGTAGAAGAAGAACCAACCGACCCTATTGAAGCTGGCAATGGGGTAAGTCAGGGAGGTTCATTGAGTCCTCTATTGTTCAATCTGATTATGGATTAAATAATAAAAAAAATTAGAACCAAAAAAGGATACCAAATGGGTGAAAAACAACTAAAAATAATCTGCTATGCAGACGACGAATTACTACTACAATAAGAAGACAATCAGTAGGAAGACCATGAAAACGACGGAACGACAACTTACTGGAGGCCCATTGAAAAACAGACAAAGTCATATCTACATAAAAAGAAGAAGAAGAAATGTTTGTGTATTTTGAGCTATCTATCGAACAGCTATTACAAGAATCTGCTCTTACTGCCCCAAGTGATAGAATAATTATTTAAAACCTTTAAAAAACATAAAATATGAAGGATTTTAATACCAAAGTAGGAAGAGGAGAATGCAGAGGCCTGATTGAAAATCACGTAATTGGATAGCACAATGAAAAGAGAAAGACATAATGAATTTAGACAAGAAAAAAATGTTTTCGTGTGACATATTTAATTTAGATATAATTTTATATGAGATTAAAGCACAATTAATTATAATGAGAATTATATTGCTTTAAGGTTCTGATTTCCAATCCGGAAAATGATTTCCGGATTCCATAGATCGGAAGGTGAAAACTTTATTTGTTTTGTGGTTTGTGATTGAAATATGTGATATTCATTTTTTGTGCAGAAATTTATCAGAATTACTTATTATATTCATCAAATTTTTGTTTTACAGATGGTATGACGTCGTCAACAATTTTTGTATTCATATTTACCAAAATGAAAATGAAAATAATACATAAGTAGTAGTTCTTTGAGATAAAAAAAAAACAACTAGCTGTTGCAATCTTTCACTACGAAAATCACAAACAGAGTTAACAGGTTTAGGCAATAAAATTTGCGAGAATACCACCTGTTTTAGGTACACGTGTCGTTTTACGCGGAATTTATGAGCGGAATTTCATTTGGAGCATATCTATATCCTGATTTTCCACAACCACGTCTCCGATTCAACTAAAATTCTTTAACTAAACATATCCATATTTCATAATATTTGACGTAACCTAAATAAAATGAAAGCTTCATTTTTGTTAACTACTTGGGTAAAAATAGAAGCTCTAGCACGCGTCTACGTACTTCGTTTGGACTATTTATTCAACTGAAAATGACCAACATAAGGAGATTACCGGTAGTTTCAAATTATACGTCAATAAATTTTCTATATACACATGTTGAGGTTCCGATCGATAAATGGCAGCTATTTTTTTTTTAATTCGGTGCAGTAAACTGTTATTATTCAGCACTTTGAAGGTTAACAAAATACGTTAAAAATGTATATAAGAATAAAACATATTATAATAAAAACATAATTTAAAATTTAGCCTAGAATTGTGTGCAAACTAATAAGTTATTGATTCTGTTCAAAAAAATAGTACTAAAAGGACAACTACAACCTTAAAAGGGATTTTTTTGTTTTAAATGGTCAATCGACCCCCAAATATGAAAAATCGTGAAGAGAAATGTCTTTCTTAAGTACAAAATCAATAGCCTATAAACAATTAAGTATGTTATTTTTGTAAAATTCAGCTTTACAAATAAAAAATAACTTTTCTTGCTTTTTAATATACAGACCAAGTAACTACAAAAATTTTTGATTTCACTGGAAACAAACTGCAATTTTCTTTGGTCCATTAGTCCTACAAGATCCTACTTAATTTTTTTAAGTAATCATTTGACCAGTTAAAAACACTGCTAAATAGGTATCTCTTCTTGAATTGATTTGGTCTTATTAAAACAAACTTTTAATTTTCTTAATCACGTTGGATTTTATTGAGGGTAATTTTGGCTTTACAGCTGCCCTAGAAGATATCTTTAAGTCAATAGACTGGGAAAATAAGGGAATCCCTATTAACGGAAAATACTTGAACCATCTTAGATACGCAGATGATGTAATACTAATAGCCGACACGTTAAAATGCACCGAATACGATTATTAAGGAGCTACACACAGAATCCCTATAAAAAGGACAGAAAATGAATTTCAGCAACACTAATGTCGAACAAAAATGAGAAACCTATGATAAACATCGAAGGGACAGAGATACAACACGTAGATGAATATACATATCTGGGTCAAAATGTCAAGGTAAGAAAATAAAAATATACCTCAAGGATTGCGAACCAAAGTGTTTCTGTATCCTACCTTTACTTACATATGGAGCTCAAACCTGGACATTCACTAAAATAAACATGGAGAAGATCTGAAAAACTCAGAAAGCTATAGAACGACAGATGCTGGGTATCTCACTCAAAGACCATAAAACCAATGAAGACATTCGTAATGGAACAAAAGTAACAGATGCTGTCGAACAGGCAGCTAAACTGAAAAGGAAATGGGCTCGACATAACGAACGTCTTACGGATGGCCGATGGAATAAAGAAATCGGGAATTAGAGGCCATTTGAATCCAAAAGACCACGAGGAAGACGATATTAAAAGAACTGCAGGGCTAATGTGGAAACGTCTTACAAACATCATAGGTGAATGGCAAGAATTAGGAGAGGTCTATATTCGGCAATCCGAATAGAGAAAAGGGCTTAAAAAAACTTTGGCTTTTAGGCTGACAGAGCATTGGTCTGTACACGCTACCTTACAGTATTACTGATTTACTTAAATATAGCATTCTAGGATTGCAGAAGTTCATAGAACTGATTAGACAGTAAGAGTAGACCTTTATGGCAGATTTATCGAAGGCCTGACTTATATCAAGAAATCGTGCTAAGCAATGTTGTCTACTTTCGAGGTCATTCCTGGTATTTTGACTAATCTATGGATTTGTTCTACAGTTTTATGTTCTTTTCCAAATCCAAATTGATGTTCTGGGAAGCGGGATTGCATTATTAATTTCTCCGAGACTTTGGAGAGCATTGGTAGTAAACTTATTGGTTCATATAATGTTAATTCCTCTTTTTTTTCTGATTGTGATATTATAATTCTAATTGTTACTTTCAATTGATGTTGAAAATAGTTTAGTGTTAGTATTGCGTTAAATTGGTAATATTGCAGTTATTGTTTTCTTCGTAATTGTTTGTTTTTTAGGATTAATCTCTTTCATTATAACATTCTTTACTTCACTATTTAACTATTTACCGTATTTAAATTTTCATTTATAACTCCATTTGGAAAGGTGCATTTACTACCTTATCTATTTCCTCCAATTCTTTAGATGTCGATTCCAGGCTGTTTAATTGAAAGATGGGTGAGAGATAGTTACCGAATTTAAACAGCTTATGAAAAATAAAAAAAAACTAATTAAGATGAATGTGTGACAAAACTTTTAAAACGGACTTTTAAAAGAGATATAGGCAAGTTAAGGATGGAGAGGGTGACAAATGCAAGAATTAGATAGATCATGAAAGTAAGACACACAGTAGCTGATGAAATAAAAAACAAACAGTTGATTTGATTTGGCGATGTACAAACAACGTTCAATAAAAAACATTTCAAATAAATACTAAAATGGAAACCAAGTGGAAGAACATGTAAAATACCCCTACCAAATTGGAGAAGCAAAAGAGACCAAAATTTTAGAGATGGAGGAACAGAAGAAGATAACTGAAATGTTAAAATGGTTGGAGGTCGAAAGATTTTAAACCGAAGTTTTAAACCGATGAGTATACATAAAATGAAAGACTTTTTTACACTTAAAAAATCGATATTCTTCTTTCCAGTTCCCTTATATACCAGTAATAGTAACTTTATTGCAAAAATGCTTAATAAATTCTTCTATGGTCACTATTTTACTTTAATATGTAAATTCTATAACACCCTATACGGAAAATAAAATAATTTTGAGGTTGCCTTATCATTATCAGGCACTGTCTATTTTGTTCATATAATATATACATCCGTCATGTTTAAACAAATTCCTTATCTCTATTTCAGTAATTTTCTATTTATTTACGTATCTTATCGGGTTGGAATAGCTTTTTTACCTATACGAAGCATAGTACCTCATTCCGGTACAGCTATTGCAATTATTTAGGTTCCGTCAAGGGAACTATTTATAAACGTGTGTACGTTGATTGTTCAGTAAGTGACATATACTAACCATTTGTTTGTGATCATCTTTTATGCAAAATTAATCTTAGAACATTTTTATACAAGTGTTTAAAAATGTAGTATATAAAAGATATCTGACTGTAAAAAATATTTAACAACCAAACACGATAAAATATAAAATATTTATGAAGAAACTGAACGTAGGCAACTTATTGGATTTGGTTATGTACAAATAATTAATGACAGACAACTTCCCAAGCAAATGATAAAATGGG